TACATATAATGGGCAATAGTTTATAGATATAGCTTCTAATGTTAACGTTCTAACCCTAAATTTGTGTTTTTACGCACATTGTTTATTTACCAAATCAAATTCCTTTTTTGTGTTGTATTACTGGCGCCAATAAGTAAATCCGGTCTACTATAGGTTAATTGAAGTGTAAGAGACCCAGGTCCTTTATACGACAGTTTACGGAATATAGAATGTTTCATTAGGGTCGTTTTGTTTTAGAGAAGTTAACAATAATAACGACTTCCGAAAATAGATAGAATTACAGTAGGTTATTATCATGCTAGCTTCTCTATAATAAAAGGGATTTTGATTATTTCAATTGCAGAGTTCTACAACCATAATAGAACTTTCTATATATTTTTTTCTTTGTAGTTTTATTTTTTAAAAAAGTGCTTTAAACTGTATAAAAAATGTAATTTAAACAACCAATTATATGAAATCTTTCTACTATATTTGCAATAACGCGTTATTTCGGGACTCACATGCGCGGTAATTCGAATCACTTTGACAAATTCGGGTAACCCTGCTTTTATAAATGAATATGTATATTTAAGAGGACGTTATTATGGGACACACATGGGCGTTATTTTGAGTCAAGAAACCAATTTTCAAAAAAAAATGGTGATTTCGAAATAATGCTCATGTGCGTTATTACGCAAATACGGTATGACATACAGTATACTTCAAATTGATGTAATCTCTAAAGTTCAAAATTTTTTTTGTACATTTGAAAAAAATTATTAAAATTTATTTTAAATATTTAAATTTTTATTAATTAATAGATGAGTCTTTTGCCTATATATTATAAAAATTATATAAATATACATTAGATACGTGTGAAAATAAATAAGATTATATGAATTAATTAAAAATACTCGAATCCGTATGTGTGCATACTAATGTCTCGGAATATTTTCATTACGGATACAAGCATTATTATACGTAATTTATCTAAAATAAGCTATTATGATTGAGACGACATCTCAAATAATATTAATCATGAAAACTCAGACTTTCTGATTAGTAAAGAGAATCGTTATAATAAGATTCATTATCTTATAATTTTATACGTATGTCATCTTTTAAAACATGGAGAAATTTTATAAAACACAATCTGGAAGAATAATTGGGTATTTAATGGATCTATTAGGATGAAACAATCCCCAGCTTCCTTCCAAAATACCAAAATTTGCAGTTTTCCAAGGAGTATCAAAAGTTTCAAAAAAGTAATATTTAATACCCTTTGAATTAGAAGAACAAATAAAAGTTTCTAAAAATGTTTGTAAATTAGGAACGCTAGGAATAGACGAATTTTGTGGATCGCCAGCTGTCGGCCAACCAACTTCGGATATAAGAGAATCTTTACCAGCAGCTTTTGCAGATTTGGCGACAAATTCGTCAAAGTAACCAAATGTCCATGATGCAGAAACATTTACATCAACACCAGCAAAAAATGGATGAACGTTAGCCCACACTGAATCTATAGCATCTATAAAGGCTTTATCAACATTTGAACCAAGATCAGTAGTGAAAACAGGCATTATTTTGTTAAAGCCCATAGAATTTATCTTTGTTCTGACATCCGATATACGACTATATAAAGTTTGTATAGGAATGTCTTGGCGAAAGATAACTAGAAAGATAAATATAAGAAATATCATTAAAGTAATTCTTTAATATAGACCTAATCTAAATTTTTAATATATATATATAATTGAAACTGTACCTTCATTACCAACCGAAATACCATCAATTTTATCTTCACCGTATTTTTTGACTAAATCAAATAAAAGATCATATTGTCTTTGATAGGTGGTATCATTATTATCAATCCAAATAGTGGGAACAATAGTTATATTCAAATTCAACTTAACGACTGCTTCCATAGTATAATGAGCCATATTACAATCCATCCCGTAAAGCCGGATTCTGTTAGTTAATTGTGAAATTATTTTCATATCTTCAATAACATCACCCAAAGTGTTTGTGCACCAAGGATAAGTAGCATTTACAGGACCATAATTTATTCCATAAAATATTTTTTTGTATGCAGTATTTGGAACAATAGTCAAATTGACAGGTTTTTTGTCCCATGTGAAATAATCGGAAGATTTATTTCCATTATTTGAAGAATTGTTTTTATGGATTGTTGTAAAGTATACGATACACCCGATAATTGCGGCCAAAATGGCGACGCATAGTATAATAACTTTTATACGATGTTTGCGAGCACTTTGCTGTTGTGATCTAAGCCAGTCGCTTATGTTTGGATCCACCATTATAAAGAAATTAAATGCTTTTGTCTCTGATTAAATTTGGGAGATTGGTCGCATTTATAATAATAATAAAAAAGGTGTTGATTCTTTTATAGACATGATACTGTTCAAACTCTTAATCGTGAAGTATATCAAGGTGATCTTTGATCATTTTCTCTCGACCCGACAACCATTTCACCGAAATTATATTAAATGAACCATCATAGTACAGCATTATATATGATTTGCTCATTATGTAAGGTTATTAGAATTTTGTCAATTATTTTTTTTTTCATAGTATATATATAATAATTTACTACGTATACGTATATGAACATTTGATGACTTTTTTTTTTTTTTTAATGTTAAAGGTGAGACCATGACTTTTTTTTACTTATTGACTTTATTAATTAATTTTTAAATAAAAACTATAAATTTGAAACATTTGATGAGTTTTTAGAAGTTAATTAAAACTCTGGAAACATAGCTTTAAAGTCACACATTTGTATATATTACGTACGTACGTATTCAAGTTACAGAACTCAATTTACTTCAGGAAAAAAGTTAGGATCGTTATCGTTATAGATTAACGGTATCAGGCATACATGTGATCATCCGACCATCAAGTTCGATCAGTAAAGGAAAACCTGAAATGATACGTACGTATCGTACTATAACAATGATGACTATTTTGAACAATGTCATTTTACTATTATATTAAATGTAGTGTTGGAGCCGTCTAAAAAATCTCCGCCCGGGTCACCCGACGGGTGGGCTATAAGCCACTCGGGAAGCCGAGTCAATTGAAAAGTCACCATCCAAGTCTTTTACAGCTGTTATCATAAACCTTGAGACACCTGATAAAAAATTAGCCGAATAATTTTTTGGAGGATTCGACTAGGTTTCGGATCAATGTAACGTTTATTATTTACGAAGGTAAAGCCAGGTACGTACGAAGGTACTAATCGATTTGTAAATTAAAACTAAAGTGAAAACTACAAGGCCTTAAACGATCCCTACTTTCACGTCCTAACTAAAGTTTCATTTCTGATTGTAACTCGCACAAATATCATTTAGGCTTTTCTTCCATCAAAGTCTTAAGATATTTATGTCGTAGGTGGGAATAGAATTTAAGTTGATTCGGAATTTTTAAGGATTTTAATATAACGATAATTATTCCGTTCTAATCTAAGTGGATTCCGAACTCTATTATGGTTCCATTATACACGGGTGTCTAAATTACTCCTCTTAATAAAAAATTATTTCGACATTTAGTCTGTCAAAATTAATTTTATTAGTGGCGAAATTAATTTTCATAGTTGTCAAAATTCTTAGTGAAATTATTTGAATTCTTTATGCCAAAATACATTAGGTAGTATAGCTACTTTGTGAAATTCTATAAAAAACTAGCAATATCGAAATGTTTGTCAAAATTACCTTTTTTAAAAAATAATTTAGACACTTATTCCCACTTACAATATTAATATTATTCAGGTTTAATAGACATGATTTTCTTACAAGTGATAGAAGTCTTTCAATGTAAAGGTCTGGCTCAATGAATAGTATATTCAAATATTTATTGAATATTCAAATATTCAAATATATAATTGTTTCACTAAATGAATTTTCAAATCTAATAATTATTTATCAAATAATTTAATAAATATTTAATAAATATATAATATCTGATTGATTAATTAAAATACAAATATAATATATATGAAAATTACTTCATATTACCAGTAGTTTTTATTACTATATATATATAGATTTAAATTAAAATGTAGTTTTAAAATCAAAAAAGGTTGGATATAATAATATTAAAAAAAAACAAAAATATATAAACCAGTATAAAGTAGTATAAACTTGAGATAAGTTTTTGTAATTGTATAAATTTAAAAAAAATAAATATTTGTTTAATAAAATTTAAATAAAAAATAATATAAATTTCTAACAATATTATTAGAATAGATTATATTTAAGATCAGTAAACTATATGTAGAGGATCAGAATAATGACAGTTAGATCAAACTTATATGGCAGACTAGTGTATTAAAGTTCAGTTCAGTTCAATTTAGGTTCAGGTTCAAGTTCAATTGAACCTGAACTAAACTTTAAATTTTGCAGATCTTTAAACCTAAACCTGAACTGAACTTTAAATTTGTGAATCTAAATTAAATCTAAACTTAAGTTTTGGTTTAGTTCAAGTTCAGTTCAAGTTTATGAACCTGTTCAAGTTCAATAAATTATATATATATTATTAAAAATAATCTAAAGGTGTGGTGACTTAGTGAAGTTGGTAAGTTGTTGCATCCCCAAGCAGCAGGACAAGAGTTTGAATCTCACTGGTGATAAAATTTGAATTTTACAGAATGTATTATAGCAGACTGTGTATAATTTGATAGATTAGTAAGATCTGTAAACATGGTCACACCAGAACTTACTGGGAGGCTGTAAAATATTAGTATAACATATGAGTTATATGAAACCTGAATAAAGCAGCTAGATAAAATCAGATATTGGGACTATGAGGCACACAAAAGCCTGCTTGGCAAGCTTCGAGTAGAGAGGTAGCACAGATCTTTAATAATATTATGTAAAAAGCTATCTAAGAGATCCAGACACCAATTTTAGTGATCTGGACGAGAACTGGTATTTGGCAAAACACTATACCAACCAGACTACAAGACAAGTAACTGAAGGAAAAAAACTAACCATAGTGACTAAGGGCAGGCCACAGCCCCTCTGAGCTATCTGAATTGGGAGTTTAGATTACTGACAGAACTTAGATACTAGTGATAGTCTGTAAAGTGTTTACTGGAGTTTGAGTGAACTCTACAAGGGCAAAAGTAGGTAACAGTAGTGGCTTTGGCTCACAAGTACTTGTTCTCAGACTCGGTGTAAGTTACTGAAGTCTAGGTTAGCCAGATTGTGAATATAGAAAGCTCTAGCAGGTTTACCTTGAGGACAAAGGACCCCTATAGGTGGGTCTTTCTTAAATTCCTAAGTCAGTGATCCGAAAATAAGAGGTACTAATGTATTCTTACTTGGTTAGAAGATTAATATATATAGGCACAGAGAGTTTAAATGGGTAACTCGGTAGGGTTATAAATACAGCTGCTAGTATAAAACCTTTGGGTGTTTACTTAAATAGGCAATTAAAAGTTGTATATGTGACTAGTTGTACTCTCTAAATATGTATATGGTATAGAGTTCCATACTGTAAAAGTTAACAATAATCGAAGAAAAGGACAGCGACCATGAGGTTATCTTAAAACCAAAAAAAAAAAATATTAAACTTATATCAGATTGTAAAAATTATATAGTACTATTAAATAATCTAATCTAAACTCTATACTAGTTATTTATGACTATATTGGATATATAAAATATCTATTCTTAAGCAGAAATCTAAGTTTGAAATTTCTCTTATAGTCTCACAGGTTCGGTGCAGTATCTTGCAACATATTTAAGTGCTAGTACTTGTTTTTAGGCAAAGTTAAACGATTTATATTTTTTTAGCTTCTGTAGATCTTAGTGTAATCATTGTAACTTATTGAGGTACTGATTAGATGTTATTAATTTCAAAGTAGGCACATGCTCCTGTATATAACTTTCTTTTTTTAGTAGTGATTGTTGTT